ATTGCTCCAACAATGTCGGACATTCGTCGGACCACTGCCTAACGTCGTTGCTCTGCCGGACCACCACCTAATGTCCTGTGCTTCACCGGACCACCGCCCAAAGCCGTTACTCCATCAGACCACCATCTAACGCCCGGTGCTCCGCCGGCCCACCGCCTAACACCGTTACTCTGCTGGACCACAACCTGATGCCCTGTGCTCCGCTAAACCACCGTCTAATGTCGTTTTTTCATAGGACTACCACTTAAGGCCTTCACTTTTGTCAGACCACCGTTAGAAGCCCTCATCTTTGTCAGACCTCCACCTGAGGCCCTCATCTTCGTCAGGTCCTCATATAAGGCCCAAATTTTTGTCAGACCATCCTATGAGGCCCGAAGCTCTGTCAAATCATCTCTTGACACCCGAATTTCTATTTTATAATTGCTACTTGTAATCTGATCGTCCTCAGAGACAAGTCAGTCCATTGTAACCAACTCAAGTTCTAGTGAAATCTTTTCAACTGGGCTAGGCCCCGTGGTTTTTCCCCTTTCAAGGGTTTTCCATGTAAAAAATCTTTTGTTCCATATGTGTGAGCTGGATATCCGTATAATGCTAAGACGAACGATTAAAATTCTATCGCCGCGTATATTCTAGCCCGCAACAAATATGTATTGGAATTGCTACATATATATTTTAACAATAATATAATTGTAGCAAAGGAAGCCGATCTTTAAAATTTTTTTACTTAAGTTGCCAACAATAAATCTCTTATAATGCAGGAAAGCATTTTGCTGAATTGTGCAAGGCTAAATACCGTATGCTTGTCAAATCCTTATACGATAACTTGATTGTTAATTTCTTCAATACTCAACACCTAAAATCCAACCTTTCTCAAAAAAATAAATGATCTCTAATGTCTTCCAATATGATATCATCCCCAAAATGTTAGTATATTGCCATTTATTTAGATCTTCCACATGGTACTTTCAATGGATAGTTAGGCATTAAATTGTTTCTTAAGAACCACAAACATATTTGTCGGTGTTTGTCAATGTGTTTACTTGCATGCACTTATTTACATTTGCATGTTTTCCTGGACCCAATATTATGATTCAAATATGTGATTTTTGATTGTTTGAACATAGAGATAAGTTGTTAATGGTTTTTTATATCAGATCAGTTTTAATTAATTAGTTTTTGATGTATATGTATATTGGATCAACGTATGAATTCATGTTTTGTTAAAAAAAAAAAAACATAACAATTGTGGCGGTTATAATCACCACAATTATACAGATTTGCAGCAGTTAAAGCTGTCACAATTCTGAAATCAGTAATTTTTGAACATAATAGAGACGGTTATAACCCAACAAATCTATAGGTTTGCACCGGTTATAATCGCTGCAAAAACTAGTGCTTCGTCGAAACTACCCTGCCAGTCAATAAATCGCTGTGAAATATTGTTGCAGTGCATAACAATTACAACTGGGCTGCAAAAATTTTAAAACTGATGCAAAAAAATTAGTAGTGGTTATAACTTCTGGGATAACTCCAAAAACTGTTGAGAAAACCATATTTTTGGATAGAGTATATCCAAGAATAAACCATTGAATATAATTGTTTTAAGTATAATTTAATTTATATATAATGAAAAATGTATTAGCAATTATACATAAGGTTGTTCATCAATCCATGCTCATGCTTGTTTTGTATTAGTTTATGTGTCATGTCGGTTGACCTAGATTAGGGGCGGGTTGGATCCGAGTTCAAATTTCTGGCCCATTTTATATTTGGGACATGTTCTAGTTGAAGCAATTGAGGGTGAGTCGGTTTCAGGGTGTTCCCGAACACAACCCAAAAACTCATTTTGACACACGTACCGAATAATCCCGAATAGAAAATGAATGCATAGCTAGGCAAATTAAGCCATGAAGAGGAAACAGATGTGAAATCATGCACTGAAGATGGAGTCAAGATAAAGGAATAGGATATGGGGAGGGTTAAGACTTTTTTTTTTTTTGGGAGGGGGGAGGGGGGTTGTTAAGTTTATTAAATGAAAAGTTTCTTTAAATTTGATTAAATGCAACTAATATTATTTTAAAATAAATGATCATAAATGCACTTAACGCGTGGAAGATGAAACTAAGGTGAATTGTAGAATAGGATACGAGGATCAAAATAAATGAAACATCACTTAATTGGAAAACCAAACTTACAATAACGTAAGTTAAGGAAGCAACATGATGGAACCGAAAACCTACCACCACCAAAAAACACAATAAAATCACGCTTTATCTAAATGAGCTAAACCCAACAATGGCTTGCGAAGAGCAAAATATAATGAGTGAATGGTTGGGACTTGGAATTTATTTTTGATAAATAAAATGAAAAGCTAGGAAAATGAAATGCTAGGATTGTGTTTGGGAAGAAACTAAAGTAGCTTTAACAATAGTAATAGTAGTTGTAGTAGTTTATATATATATGAAATTAAAATGTTAGCTCATATTTATGTAAAATTATCCTTAACAAATAAAATTTGAGCATTATAATGAACAAATCTTCTTCAATAGATTTAAGAGGTCGTAATTCTTTTCATCATGGTTAAGAATTCAATACTTTGAATTTTTCTAATCCTCAAAGATCTATTAAATTTGGATCTTCTTATCTTTCGGTAGTTTACAGTTTCTGAATCTGATATTTTTTAATGACAAACAAATTGTCATTAAATAATTATATTTTTTTTACAATTGAATCATTAAGAAAAAGTTACACACACATTATATATGTAAGCTTCGAACCCAAAACCACAGTATAAGTTGCATGTAAAAATAATTAATTTCACCTTTCATTTTTTCATGTATTTAATAAGGACCTACTTTCTGTTTCATAGTGAAAGTAAGTGAGAGAAAGTTTGGGATTTCAAATTTCTATTTTGGCGGCCCCTGTTTTTGCGGCTGGATTGTCCAGCAATCAGCCAGCTCTCCGGTGGCCCGGATAGGCGCAGATGGAGCAAAGACGATTTCTTCCTTCGGAAGCTTGAAAGAATTACAGGAAAGGTTTATCTGTACTAGTACATGATTCTTCAGAAGTTTTTAATGGAGGTTCCAAAGTTTTGGAGGGGTTCAACAAGAACTTCAAAGGCTTTAAGGAAAAATCGTTGATAATCAACGAAGGGGGATTATTGGGTAAGAAGGAGATCCCCATTCTTGTTTCTGGTAAATGAAAGGTTTTTATCAAGGAGGATTGTGTGAAGAATTTGGAGGCTATGCCAATTCGTGATGGAAAAGAGAAGGTTATTGGTGGTCTGAATTTAGAAGCCTCATCATATGCTGGACTGAGGATCTATTCTAACAAATGTTTCAACATGATTTCCTTGCCATCTTCACCGATCAAAAGCGATTTTTTTACAAACAATCCTTTGGAATGCAATACACGGGATGTAATCAATGTGGATGAGGTTTTGTCTCAAAAGAAGAGTGTTGGTTATCCATAGGGAGGTCCTGGAGATTTATTAACAAATGCAGCTTCAGCGAAGATCAAGGAAAGCAATGTGAGGACTCAATCGTCGTGGAGTAAAAGACCGAACGTGAAGGTGGATAATCTGGAGCTGGGTTCATTTTTGTCTAAAGATGGAAAGGTGGTTCTTCTTCATGCTGAAAAGGAGTTGGAAAAGGCTAGAAGATTAGAAAGAGCTATTGTTGTGAAGACTTTTAATGATAATATACCTTTTCATGTGGTAAGCACAAATTTGAGAAGACAGTGGGATAAATTTGGAAAATTCCACATCACTGGTTTGGGACTTGGCTGGATTCTGTGCTCATTTGAAGATTCTAAGGCATTAGAGAGTAATCTTTCAGGTGGCTAGTGGTGGATTAGAGGACAGGTGGTTGGATTGGACAAATGGTCGGACAATTTCAATCCTACATCTCTCAAAGGCATTACATCTCCAGTGTGGATTAGGCTGCCAAATTTACTTCTTTAATGCTGGGATGAGGTAAACATTTGTAGAATTGCTTCTCTGGTAGGCAAGCTTTATCTTCTTGATGGGAACATGTTCCAGTGGAGCATGACGGAGTTTTCTAGGGTATGTGTTCAAATTTTTTTAGATATGAAACTTCCATAGGGTGTTTGGGTGGAAGGCTTGGCTGGGAAATTCTATCAAAAAGTGGAATATGAAGGGGTCTCTAAAATCTGTGCTGAATGCGGCCTGATTGGTCATGCTTTAACGATATGTGTTGATTTGAAGAATACGGAAGAAGCTGGTTCCGAACCGGTACAGACAACTGGTTTGAGCGGTGGACAGATCCTTCAAGAGGCTGCTGTAAAGTCTCTTATTGATGGAGGGAAAGTTGACAATGATTCCTGGATTCAGGTTAAATATGGTAAAAAAAGACTTAATAAAGTGATAGAGAAAAGAAGACTTTTTAATAAATTTTCTGTCCCAATGAAGAAAATGTATATTCCAAAGCTTGGACTTTCCAATCTGAAGAATATGTGTAGTTTGGATAATAAGAGCTTGAATAATAAGCAAGCGGAGGTACTAGAAGAAATTCTTATCCCTAGAGATGCTATAAATGAAGTGGCTGTGGAAGAACGTCCAGCTGTGGAAGTCCATCCACCATTTTTAGTAAGGTAGGGGTAGTAACAGAGGTGAACTCTGTTATTGAAGTTCTTAACAAATTTGATGTTTTATCTGGCTTGGATGAAACAAGCAACTTGAAGGCAACATATTCTGAAGTGATGGGTGGTGCTGAGGAAGGGGAAATTTTAGAAACTAATAAAGGATTCACAATAAGCGTTAATGCTTTGTGTGAAGAGCAGCAGCCCGTGATTATGCAAAAGGCAGATAAGGGGCAATCAAATTCCAATTTGGCAATGGTTGGAAGTCACTCTTATGAGAAAAAAGCTAAGCTTGTTAAAGAACTTAAGTCCCTTAGTTCGGGCAATATTATTCCTCATAATAGGAAGGTGGATGGTGGAAAAGCTAAAAAGGTTAGGGGGCCTTCCCCCATCTTTAATCAATGACTTCTTTGTTATTTTGGAATTGTAGAGGAGCCAAGAAAGTAGAGGCTGTTCTATATCTTAAGGAGGTGATCAAGGATCATAGGGTTTTCTTTGTGGGATTGTTGGAAACAAAGATTAGTTCTCTGGATAATAGTCAAATTCTGAAGTTTCTGGGTAATGATTGGGAATCTTTTGTGATTCCTGCTGTTGGCCTTTCGGGTGGTTTGATGGTGTTATGGAGAAAAGATATAGCAGCTTTCTCTATTATTGAAACTTCCTCTCAGATGATAGTGGGGAAAATGGAGGTTCTTCGCGAGGGTAGTTGGATAGTAGCTTCTGTTTATGGTAGTACTGATGCTCAGGAGAGGAAGATACTTTGGGATGGCCTTGAGAGACATTGTTCAGGTGATCTACTAATGGTAGTGGGAGGTGACTTCAACTGTGTGCTTTCCCAAGCTGAGAAAAGAGGAGGGAAGAACTTTAGCATGAATCAAGGTTCTAAGGATTTAAATAGCTTCATGATTAATAATGATCTTCATGAGGTTAGATCGATGGGGCCAAGATTCACTTGGTGCAATAATAAATCTGGAAGTGCTCGAATCTTGGAGAAGTTAGACATATGTCTTATTAATTTCACGGCTTTAAACATCATTCATCTTGCTTTAGTAAAACACTTGCCTCGTATTGCCTCGGACCATTGTCCTATTCTTTTGAAAATCTTCAAACCTTTTGAGTTTTACAACAGAGATATCCGGTATGAAGAGGTATGGGCTTCTTATCATGGAGCAGCAGCCTTAGTGAAGAAAATATGGATGAAAAACTGCATGGGGGACCCGGCTTCATCTCTTAATTTAAAGTTCAATAGAACTTTAAGAACCCTCTTCTTCTGGAGTAAGGTTAAATTCAAGAATCTGAACTTGTTGCAGAACAAGTTGAAGAATGATATTTTGGAAATCCAACTGGAGGAGTCTGAAGGTTGGATATCTTTTGATAGATTGCAGCTATTGAGATTCAAAATCAATGAAATCAATATTACATTGGCACGGCTCAACACTTGGTGGAAACAAAGGGATAAAGAAAACTGGATGGACGAAGCTGATTGTAATTCATCATTTTTTCATGCATTTGCGAATGTCAGAAGGAATAATAATTATATTAGTCATATCATGACCATAGATGGTATTGTAACGGAGGATAGAGCTGTAATCCAGAGAACTTTCTCATAATTTTTCAAGTTGAAATGGCAACTTAGAAAATGCTTACTGGATGGATGGCCTAATATGTCTATTGTCATTAGTAATGTTGATCAAAACTTACTTGAGGTTTATTTCACAAGGGAGGAACTTTAGGTGGTCATGGAAAAATCTAAGAGGAACATTTCTCCAGGCTTAGATGGGACAACCTTCTCATTCATCAAGGATTTTTGGAATTGGATTAAAGAGGATGTATGGCTTGCGGTAAGCCATTTCTTGTCTTCAGGTGTTATGGATTAGTCCTGGAAGGAGACTTTAATTATCTTAATCCCAAAAATCAAATGTCCTCAAGAGCCTGCTAACTTATGGCCTATTAGTCTATGTATGACTATATATAAAATCATTGCTAAGATGCTTTTAAATAGATTGGAAAAAGTTATTCATAAGATCATTTTGGTGGACCAAGTGGCTTTCATAAGAGGCCGATCATTGTTTGATCATGTGCTTTTGGCTCAGGAGGTTTTCAACAAATTCAGATGGTCCAAATCTAGAAAAGGCTTGCTGGCAATTAAGCTTGACATGGAGCAAGCTTATGATAATATGGGGTGGCAAACTTTGAGGCAAGTTCTTAATCACTTTAAATTTCCCAATAAATTTTTGGAGCTTTTTTATTGCAATGTGTCCTTAATCCCAAGTATTGCATTTTGATTAATGGGAGAAAAACTGAATGGATTGAAGGAAGATGTGGATTTAGGAAAGGATGTCATTTGTCCCCATCTTTATTCATTTTATGCTCTCAAATTTTATCTGATGCCTTATTTTAAGAAGTGGAATGGGTATTTCTATTTCTCTGTTAGCTCCGAGAGTATCTCACTTACTCTATGCGGAAGACATCTTAATCTTCTCGGAAGCCAAGGTAAAGGAAGTTAAGGAATTGATGAAGATCATTTCCAATTACTGTGATTAGACGGGACAGAAGGTTAATTCTTCAAAATCCAAGGTTCTTTTTGGGAAGCATACTAAACGAAGAACTCAAAAGAAGATTATAAAATAGCTCAATTTAAAGTAAGTGAAGGAATTAAATTATCTTGGTGTGAAGATGACTTTAAGAAGGGTGGTGGCATCGGATTTTCTGAATTTGATGGAGTCAGCTGCTAATAAGTTGAATACATGGGGAAAGAAATGTATTTCGTTGGAAGGTAAATTGGTTTTGGTGAAATCAGCTTTCCTCTCTTTACCTTTGTTTTTATCAACTCTTTCATTAGTTCCGTTGAGCATTCTCTAGGAGTTTGATAAGATGTGTAGAGGATTCTTATGGAGTAAAAATAATGGCAATGCTGGACTTCATTATGCTTCTTGGGATTTACTTTGTAAGTAGAAGAATGAAGGTGGTTGAGGCTTATTCTCAGCAGTATCTAAGATAGGACCTCTACGGGCAAAATTTGTGTGGAATTTTTGCATGAAACCTAACTCTTTATTGAACCAAATTCTGAGAGCAAAATATGGAGAAGATGTGTGGTCGGTCCCAGTGAAGATAGGGTGTTCACCTACATGGAAGATTATTACTATGGGAGATAAATATCTTAAAAACATTATTAGATTGAATATTTCCAATGGTAAATCTATCAATTGGCTGTATTATTCATGGATTTTAGACAAGTGCATTGCATATTGGCCTACATTTGTTAATATAAAAGAAATATCCGATTTCAATCTAAGCTCATTCATCTCAAATTGCCAATGGAATATGGATAAACTATAAGTTGTATTTGGTGTACAGCTGCTGAATCTCATTTCAAAAATTCTAATTGTAGATGGCAGGAATTCAGATCTCATGGAATTAAAAGGTAAATTTTCTGGGAAATCTATTGCTGCCATGTCCTTTGAAGCTGCTATGGTACATGAGGATGAGGGTGCTCATTGTAATTGGTTGAAAAGACTTAAGTTAAAGCCAAAAATTAAACTTTTTTGGTGGAGACTTTGTAATAATGCTATTCCATCTAATACTTTCCTTGTGAGGAGGAGGTTAACTAACTTTCTAGGTTGTCCGAGAGGCTGTGAAGAGGTAGAGGATAATAGCCATATAGCAGGAAGATGTTCTAAGTTCCGGAAAGTGGTCTCTCTACTGAATAGTTGGGGATTTATGGTTATGGTGTTTAACAGTTTTTTTGAATGCTTAGAAGGACTTCAGAGGTACGTGGGTAAGAATACTCTCATTGCAAACATTTATTGTACAACTGCATGTCTTGTTTGGAAGAGTAGATGCAAGTTGGTTCATGGTGGCAATGATGAATCGGATAATACCATTGCTGCAAATGCTATTTCCTTTGCTGCAAGGAGTAATTTCTTAAATTTCCAACCGAATAACTGGGATGCCAACCAGTGCTTGCTGTTTTCTCTTTGGCATCCTCCTCCTCCTGGGTGGATAAAGATAGATGTGGATGCAGCTCTCAGGAGGAATAATTTAGACGAAATTGGAGGAGTTGCTAGAGACGATAAAGGAAGATTCTTGGTTGCTTTTGGAGTTCAGTTCTTGCATTGGGATGCTGCACAGATGGAATTATTAGCTGTTTTGTATCTAAAAAAGGTGATCTAGGATTGGATGTTTGAAGCTCAAGGAGTTATCATCGAAGTGGACAACTTCAATATCATTAAACTGCTTCAAAATTTGGTTAAGAGATGGAAGATTAGTAGAATGATTGAAGATAATTTGGATTTCTTGCTACAGTTCAAACAAGTTGTGTTTTCTTTTTCTAGTAGAAATGGTAACAAATTAGCGGATATTTGTGCTAATTTGGGTTTACAAAGTTCTTTTTTGTGGGAATAACTTAATGTTGGTTTGATTCCTCCTTCTTTCTTGTCTTGCTTAAAGAAGGAATGTGTTTCTTTAGGTGTTACTTGAATAGTTTGTAATTGTTTCTTTTTTTTCGTCTGCTTTTAATGCAATATTAGCATTTCTTTCAAAAAAAAAAAAAATTGAGAGAGTTTAATGCAATTTTTTCACCGTGTAATCTTGCATTGCTAACCTTTATATTTATTTTTTTGTCATATTGTTGGATTTAAAGATACTATCGATGAATTTTTTTATAATAGTAAAAACCAATTATGGGCGCATATTTTATGTCATTAAATTAAATGCTATATGATCTTTAAAGGAAACAACAACTCACTAATACTCCTATAGCTACAATTAAAAAGGAAAAAATAAAACCTAAAGAACATAGGTTTCCAAACTAATTTATAAAAGCAAAATGAAAAAAATAAGGAAGGTTGGAACCCAAACCCAAAAGGAGCCCAAGCTTAAATAAACTTTAAGATCATCCAGGAACCCTCAAAATGAACATGTAAAAAAAAATTTAAAAAAAAAAAAAATTGGCCATGAAACTAACCAAAAAAAGAACAAAAATATATTGAAAATCCCAAGAAAAAGACCATTCAAGGCACATGGAAAACAAAACAAAATAACTCAGTTAACAACATAATAGGGACAACATAAGTAAAGGCACATGAAGTTTGAATCGATTTACAATGTGTGTTGTGCAATAATGAGTACCAGCCAAATCAAGATATACGAATTAGAATTGAAGTAAAAAAAAAAAGAAGAAGAAAGCACAAGAATCACATAATTTAATATCTAAAAATAAACCAAAGATCAATAAAAAAATATCTACAGCCTAAACATGACCCACCATTAGGGAGTCACATCCCAACAACAAACCAAGCATCGACTAGACACAACTAAAGGATGAAACACCTTGGAACATTGAAAAATACAATCCATAAGAATAAAACCAAAACAAACCAGAAAAATACATAATTTACCCCAACAAGGAAGAAGTAATCCACAAAACATAGAGAGGAAAAATTGAAAGAAAGCAAACCAAAATGAGAAATTATATTGTAAGATAAGGAATAAACTAGCTCAGAGAAGTGTAGTATCATATTAGACCATTCTTTGACATCACAACAAAGTTCGACTAGAGAAAATAATAATAATTATACATATCAGCAAAGATTACTGAAAAAAGCTACCCCCATCTGATAACCAAGAGCCAAAGAGATTAATCAACAAACTGCAACACAAAAGTACTTAACTAAAATAATGGACTAAAAATATAATCATAACCCACATAGTCCTTCAGTAAAGCAGCTACTAAACCATACCAAGTACAAAAGAGTACAAAATTTAAAGCAAGAGAAACTTATAACATAAAGAATAGGACCCAAAAAGCCCCAGCTCATATTTTAGTGCTTTGTCATGTAAGGAAAAGCCAAATAATCATGTCTGATCAAGCCTTTAATAATCCCAAGGTATTAGACTTTGTTATACCAAATTGCATTAGAACTTTTAGCACATTCATTGGCCAACCAATCAGTACAAACATTTCCTTCTCTCCAAATATGTATAGTTTTGTAGTTAAATCTGTTAAGCAAGGCAAGTTTGTTTCTATATATATATAATGAAAGTTGGCATTATAACCATTTCTTGCTTTGATTAAGTAAACAAGAAGCTTGGAGTCAATTTAAATCCAAAGATTTAATATATTCATGTTAAGACAAAGCAAAATCCCATAATATAAAGCACTCAATTTAGCAAAAAGAACATAACCTTTAGTAATGTTGATCCCCGATTAAACCACCATAGCAAACACCACCAATAGTAGCTGAGCCATCAATGTTTAATTTGTACTCATCAAAATGAGGTTTGATCCATTTAACTAATTTAATATTACTAATTTTATGAGAAGTATGTCAATATATATTGAAATAGGACAACCAAATGTCTAAAATGCTTAGGGGCCAACAACTTAACAATAAAAAGTTGATGAATTAAAAATTTTAATGAAATGATAACCCTACATGAAATCATATTTATGTTATTATGCTTACTTTTATTCCTTTCACAATGACAACCAAATAGAAGCATGCTCATTGTAATAACTTAAAAACCGGTTCAAAGAGAACTTTAGCAATACTTTTTTCATGAATTCTAATGAGTCAGTATAAATGTCAGTTGTGTCCTTGTAGATAAA